ATTCCCCCCCCCCCCCCCCCCCGATTATATTTTCTGTGGATGCGCCACTTTGCTATATCAGTATCTCTTGAATTTTAGGAGTGACTTGGAAGGTGTATTCCTGAAATGGGAAAGAGTTCAGAAACCTTGTCAAACACAAGTAGTTTTCTTTGTGACTTTGTAGAATCAGTCTGGTTCAGTAGATAGATTGAAACAAGTTGCAGGATGATTTAATGAAAGGTACCTAATTAAGCCTTCAGTTATCATGTTAAACTGTAGGCTTTTATTTTTAATGGTGGTGGTATATCAGCAAGTTGGCTGTGACTCATCAACTTGCCTACTCTGGTGGCTTAGTCACAATCACAACCTAGAGCCATTAAAGCAGTTGGAAGCAAAGATGAAACTAATCAGAGCTTTCAAAGATGGCCCTGCCAAAGAACTGTGCAGAGATAGCACTGCACAATGAAAGGTATTCCCACGTAGGTAGGCGTGGAAGGGGTGCAGAGGAGCATCTGGTTGCTTGCTTGGCATTGGGGTGGGAGGTGAGGGACAGAGTTAAAAATGGAGATAAAGAAAATGAGATAATGTAAAAATATGTTGTCTCTGCTCTCTTTTGGCTTTGCTGTTCCCTCTTACATTGTTTCCTTTAAATTTATCTCTACTTCTCTTTTTATAGTTGCAAAATTAATCTTTTTTCCATATTGTCTGTAGCTGTGAATCAGTTTTTGCTAGTATACATTTGAAGATATCCTAAAAGTAGTCTGTAGGGGATACCAGTCTGCATTTGGGTAATGTGAATGCAGAGTGTAATATTTTTTCCCAGGCTGAAAGCCATAATTGGTCTTTAAGCAGTATACTGGGGGGCAGGAAGGGAGGGGGTGCTCATCAGAAGGTAATAGAACCAGAACAAAAAAAGTATGATTTGATTACTTTTACAATTTAATTACATTTAAATATAGTTAATATTATTTCTCTTCAATCAAGTAGTTAATCTCCCCCCCTTTTTCTCTTATAATAAAATACAAACTTGATAGCAACTTAAGATACCTCTCAGAGACATACTGAAGGCTTGGTTCAAAAGTTGGAAAGTGAGAGATAATACAAAATTAAATGTCAACAGAATAGCTACAAAAAAAGAGCAATCCATAAACTCCATGCTTGTTTTTGTCCCTAAAGAGACTATAAAGGGAGTGGGGGAGGAAAGAGGATTTAATACAAGAGCATCTTAGAATTTTATTGCTGCTGACAGTATCATACTTGACATCAGCTAAGAAGCAAGAAATTGCAAAGACCAAACTTTTTTTTCTTCCCCTTTCTTTTGGGTCTATTGCAACTGAATGGAAGAGAGTGACATTTTTACAGAGATTTTTCAGTAGACTGTAAAGGTACCCTGAAGCTATGACAAACACAAGGTCCTTTTTTACTTGGTAGTCATCTTATTTCCTAATATAGTCACATTCCTTAGGCTAGGCCTGCAGCTAACTGGGAAGCTTTTGCTTTACCTGCAAAATTGCCAAAATTATTTTGTCAATCTGCAGACTTTTAGTTCATTTCATGAATATTAAGTTTCTGTCCAAATGCATTATTACTTTACACCACAGAAGTTTGTCTCTGTAAAATCTCTTGAGATACCTGTGGCATGTTCATTTTTGTATTCATTCTGTTAATTTTTATCTTGACTCTTCTTATTTTTTAATAAGAAATGTCTATTATCTGTAAGAAAGCGGAGAAAACACCATTGGGCATTGATTGTGCTTTATATATAATTGTAAATCACTCAGAATGTTCTGCTGTGTAAAGGTAAGAACATTTTTGCAAATCCATAATCAATTAATTAATAAGGAAATGTATATGGAGACTGTCTTATCACATTTATACTAGTTTTTAGTTTGTTAAAATAACATATGACTTCAGGTTTCAGCTTGTCATCTGAAATTGCTATATATTTATGCACTGAAGAAAGGAGAATCACTGAAATTTCTTCAGTAAATCACAAACAAGGGTTAGTTTTCAAAATCCAGAAATGATACCAAGTCTTAGCAAATCCCTTAGCTAATGTCAAAGCATTAAAAAGCAACATCCATCCATTGTTGTAACTTAGGGCTAAACTACTTAAGTTAGCCTGAAGATTTCTGCACCCCTCTTAAATCATCTGGACCCCCTTTAAATATGAAGTTACCTTATCAAGTACTGACTTGCTTAGATAACAAGTATCTGTTTATCTTTATATGTATCCTTATAATAAGCACATTATGATTGGGAACTACAGCACAATCAACCAATTTGCCACAGTTTGCAAAAATCAACAGTGATTCACTCAATATCATCTCTCAAATTGTTAAATTCTCATGAGATAAGAAATAAGTGAAAGAATGACACAGCTAAAATCAAAATGATCCCAAAAGCTGGATTAGTATAAAATGCACAAAATTAATGGCAGAAAAGTGTCTTAAAAAATCAGGTAAAAAAGTGGGTATAAGTTGGAAACCTTTGAAATACAATTTTCAGTTCACAATTTGTGAGATAAGGAAGTGAGATATTAGTCTCTTACAAAAATAAGAACTGCATTTTTGTCATAAAGTCATGCATATATGATATTCCATTTTCATATTGAATTACTTTAATAGAAAATATGGTTAATACCTACACATTGGTTCAGTTGTATAAGCACTGGGCTTGTCCAGGTGGTCTGTAGTCTGACACAAACAGACAATCATACCTTAGATCTTGTTTCTACCTCTGAGCAGTTGTCTAGAGATCTGAAAGGAGGGGGTTTATTATTAGTCCTTTGCCAAGGTCCAGATAAAGCTTGTCTTGCTTGTGATTTCCATAGAATTAAGGGACCAATTAAGATGGTCTTCCACAGGCACCTTATGAATCTAAATCAATTCCAGCAAACACTTGGAAATTTTCCTAGCAGTCTGGCAGGTAGTTCCACCAAGCTCTTGATTGAATTTTGGAATTCATGGCTGAACAGCGTGCTGGATTTGATTTCCCCCAAGCAGCCTCTTTCTGTTTTCTAATGCCAGGAAGCTTTTTTGTTAACTGAAAAGATTTTAGAGATGAAGTGATGCCTTAAGCGCTGGAATGTTGGTGGAGGAAAACAAGAACTGAATCTGACCAAGAGCCCATGTTCAAAACTACACTGGCAATAAAAGTGATGACAAATCAGTATGTGTGTGCCTTCAAGTCAGTTTTTGACTCCTGGTGACTGCATGGACTAGTCCCTGCAATTTTGCTGGCAAGATTTCAGAAGTGGTTTCCAATTGCCTGATTCCTGGGCTGAGAGTGAGTGACTGGCCAAAAGTCACCCAGCTGGCTTCATGCCTAAGGCGGGATTAGAACTCACACTCTTTCGGTTTCTAGCCTAGTGCCTTAACCCCTATATCAAACTGGCTCTTAAAGTTTCAGTACTTCACTCTTAATACATCAGTGAGAAGTAGTCCAGTGGTGCTCATTAATTGGCCTTTCTCTTGGAAACAAGTGGACAAGACAATCCATCTACAGGTTGCTGTGATCTATGTACACATTTCACCAGTACAGTCACTTGTGTTTGTTCAAATGTTGACTCTTCATTGGAGGGATCTGAAGAAATAATTGGGGCAATCCCTTATATTATCTGGGATTCCATTTTAACTTGTTGACTGAGGAAGTATATAGGTGAACTTGTGGAGGGTTATGGGTGGAGATACTGTTTCTGCAGTAGTTTTGTTCCTTCCTGAGTGGCCAATTGCAGTTGGTGATGGTCAGGAAAAAGAGATCAGTCTATTAATTGCTCCCTTGTGGGGTGCTGGAGCACTCTGATCTCTCTTCCTTGTTCCTTAACTTCTTTATGAAACTACTAGAAGACATCATCCATCAGTGTGGGGTGAAATATTATCAATATGCTAGTGATACCCAGTTATAAATATAACCAGGCTGAACTGGAGATGTGGTAGAGGTCTTCTCCTGGTCTGTGGAAGTTGTGGATGTCAAAATAAGCTTGCAAGGTTAATGTTTTGACTCTTGACACAAAATTGCAGTCCCATTGAAGGAGCAGGTCCATGGCTTGGAGGTTGTCCTGGACTTACAGCTACTGCTTGATTTGCAGATGAATTTTGCCAGGGGCACCTTTGCAGTGCAGGAGACCTGGAGAACAATAACTCATACTGATATCATCTCAAGCTAGACTCCTCTAATGTGATTTACATAGGGCTTCCTTTGAAAAGGTACTTGGAAACTGTAGTTAGTGCAAAATGTGGCAACTTACCTCCTGGAAAGAGAGAGCTGTATCATGCCAGTTTGGTGGGCATTCTATTTTCTGATAGGTTTACAGATACAATTCAAAATGTTAATTTTAAACTATGAAGCCCTAAATGGCTTGGCTCCCAAGTTATCTCCAGGATTGTCTCTTCAAACAGAACTGGCCTATCCTGTGCACTCATCTCAGGAACAGTTGCTTAAGGAAGCTTAACGCTTCCCCTCCATTCAAAAGGTGGGGAAACAGAAGTAATGTTTCTGATTGCTGCCTTTCCTTTAGAAGTTCAATTGATGCCAGCATCATGGCATTCAGTATGCAGCAGTGTAGTGTTTCATAGAGCTTTTGACAGTTAATTATGACCATTAGATTTAGATGTGACACTAGTAATTGTTAACTTGTTTTTTTTAATGTTTTATTAATTAATATATGTGTTACTATTTTATGTTATATCGGTAAACCTATGCAAGTCACACTGTATAAATGTTAAATAAATAAATTCGTAGGTGAGTGCTTACTGATGGTGGCTTAAAGTAATATTTCAGATTCTGAGTAAAAAAGAAAACAAAATGCAAAATATTTCTATTCTAGTCTAAGGTCTGTGTCTGATTCCAATACATGTTTCAAAGTGACCACACAATCAAAATGTCATTCACTTTAAGGTATGAAGAAGAGAGAGGCCGTTGCCAAGAAAATATATGCAAACTGCAAAGTATTCTGGACTCTGAAAGGGAGAAATGTGGAGCTATCAGCGAAGAGCGCTTACAGCTCCAACAAGAGAATGAACAGCTTCAAAAAGAAATGGAAAACTTGAAAAAGCTCACAATGGAGGCACAACATACTGCAAAATTAAAGGTATTTTTTTTACATAATACTTCAGAATTAATGCCAGTTGTTTAGATATTAATCTGCAAGGAACAAGACAGTATCACCTCACAATCTCTTTTAAAAATGAGTTCAAATTGTCTTTCACAATGATATCAGAAACACTACTGTAATCAATCGAGTCATATAAGCAAGAGAGTCCAGGAAATGGCAATTAGTAGGACAGAATATCTATATGTCACTTACTGGGTATCAATACATTTAGGCTTCAAATTAAGCAATGTATTTGTATCCTTTTATAACTAGAGTTTTTCAGCCTAGATATTCAAAATA